TCTGTATTATTGATTGAGTCGGTGAAATTCAAATTCTGAAATCACCGGTATATTACTAAACGCGCTCTGTGTGGTCTCGTGACTGTCTTTTTTCTGAATATTTCTTTCTTGTAGACTATTTCTAAACGTACCTTTGTTTATCATATCGTAAGGTACAGTTCTTAATTAGTACTGTATACTCCGATACAGCCGATAGTACGGCTGTCTACACATCTAAACAAAATTATCTTAATTATTTATATCTAGACTCTCTTCTCACTCAAAAAACAGACACCAGGTGGCGTGCACCGGAACTAGAGCATTGCATTTTTTCATGTATGCACATCTATATGTCTATCTACTTGTTTGCCTGAGATAATTTGATATGTACATGCTAATAATTGAACACATTCTAATTACAAGTGATTCTGTCTGTCTATAAAGTGTACTTTCTAGGTTGATAGTGATCTTCCTATTTTTACACATCATCCCTTTCACAGAAATCAAATGAAAGCTTGTGCCCGATCTTTCGTTGTATAACGTTAGGTACATAAAAGTATAATGTGTTATACGTCCCCGTATAGAGAAATAGTTTTATAGACATGAGATGGGTGTTCGTTGTTAAGGAAATTTCCCTCTTCCAAGTCCTAAATATTCTTTCTGATGTTACATCTCTCCATGACATATGATGTATATGACTGTATCTGTCTCTGTCACTCAACTGCCGTTACACGCTTATTTCGTTCGATTATCAAACCGAAGACTTGAGTTCGATTCCTGGTCGGGACTCTCGATAGGAATGAAGTGTATTTTCCAAGTTCTGTTACATTGGCACCCATCGAAATTCCAAGAGTTGTGATATTTGGAGTCTCCGGTTGAGATTTAAGAAACCTCAAAACAGACAGAGGAGCTAGTGTAATAGACTTGTATAGAGTGTTAAATAAGGTCTCTGTCACACAGCTGACAGAGCATGCTTCTTTATTACGCCGGAGACTCGGGTTCGATTCCGGGTCGGGACACTCGACAGGGATGTGTGTTTTCCCTGTTTACACACACTATTAATGACATCTGAACAATACAAAACTTATGTAACTCACCGCGGACAACCGATCAGCATTAATTCATCGTAAAAAAGTTCAAAATACAGAATTTCGATGGAAAGGTCTGGTAGTGTAGAGATCACGCCAAGCAACAGAACACAAAAGATTTCCGTCACTGACGCATCTTAAACAGTAACCACGAAAAGGAGGGACAATGTCAGTCTTTGGATAACATCCTCTGAACGGTCTGGAAGGAATCAACATGGACTTGTATTTGTAGATCCAAGCGCCAAAAGTGCTGGAATGTTAAGAGATGGCACTCGCATTTCTGCAACAAATGTCTTGACAACGATGACAATGCATATGATTGGTTAGCAAACTCCGAATTAATGTGGTTCCACATCCTGTGTCGAGTAACCGTAGAAATGAATCTTCTTGTAGAAGTTGAAATCGAGTATGAAAGCAGAGAAATAACACGGGTGTACGAGGCCTGGATACAAAGTCTGGAGGAAAATTTGAATAAGAAATATGCGGAGAATCAAGTGTGGAAAATAATCAACTCATCAGCTACACAACCTGGGAATAACACAAGACAAGATAATGACTGGAATTCCAAGACAGAAACTCAGGATGTCGTCAGAATAGAGACAATGATACAACAGTTAATGGAAATGAAGAGCAGAAACGTGAAGATGGAAGAACTCAGAAGAGTGTCGATAAAGAAATTATATTTAAGATATTTAGATCGTGTAGTCACTACTAGTGAAAAATCCTTCAGGGAAGTAACCAGTCCAGGAAAATTCAAAGAGTCAAACAGAAGGCACCTCGAAACAGGTTGACAAATTTTAGTATCATTAAAGTAACAGAAGAAAAGAACATATTTAACAGCATAAAAACTACAAGAATGTCCGTACAGACAAGGACTCGCGGAATTCGGGGTCGGGGTCCTTCATGAACAGGGAAATTGGCAGATTAGCCAAACAGACCAACGCGTGTCAATTGGATTCAAGCTTTGATCAGGTTTGTACACGAATGTAGATAGTCTACCAAACAAGCTGGACAAATAAAAGATAAAAAAAGTTCTTACCAATTTGATGTGTGGGTTGAAAGTCACATCATCATATCTGAAATCTTATTATCGGCATAAAGGTACGAAATACATAGTTAACACTGTATAATACTTTCGCATAAATATTTGTGTTGAATTTGCATAATCACCAATACTTTCAGTATTCGCGTCTGTTGATGTTAAGTTTTGTTGATGATAGTGAGTATCATAAGAGTAATTTTATGCATCTTAGCATCAGTTGTAATGTTGTGTAGATGAACTGATAGTATATTTCTAGTACCCATACAGCAGGCCATGCCTTTTAAAAATGAATTTCGCCAGATTTCTATGAGTGAATACATCTTCCGACTTGTTACTACCGCCGTTGTCATAGACGCTTGTACGACGAACACAAAAGAGTTCCATTCATATTGAGTTACATTAACATCGCTGCCGATTTATCAAAAGTGCAATTGTGTTAGCCTACGTGGAAAGGGGCTATTTTTGGCATTAGTGGACAGAATCAATCCAGTAATTTGAATTCTAGAGTCCATTTGAATAATTTTAACGATTAATCATTAAAATATCGCATTTTCATGCATCCGATCCAACCCAAGGTTAAAGAGTGCTTTAAAATCAAAGCATGAAAACCGTTATGGACAGTACTTTTTGAATGGTTTGGAAAATGCTCTTTCTACCAGTAAAAACTTGGTATTTTATTGATGCCATTTAAAGGTTGCGCATTTCGAAAGTCGTTGTTGATGTTAATGTTGCTCCCAATTCCTGTCACGTGACTCAAGGCTAAGTGCATTTGGACCCAAAACGTCACTGTGATGTCAGGTGCGATATGTATCAAATGTATCAGTGTCTATGCCCTACGCAGGGTAGGTAATGATGAAATCAAGGCTTGAAATGAAAGGTGGTGTATTTTCAACAGTAAAATACTGAAAAGCAACACTAAGGTTGACGCGTATTTTTGGACTTATCAGAAGACTTTTTGTATGTTAGTATGAAATCACATATAAAGTTGTTTAAAGAGTTAATCTGTCCATATTTAGAGAATAAGGCAAGTATAGGAAATTCCTTATAAAATGAAAGACATCGAAATAACTGAACATGTACAATGGAGAGCAACCAAACTGATAGCTGGTCTTATAATATCCTATTTAGATAATCTACGGAACATTTAAATACCAACAACTGTTTATTAAAGGTGAAGAGGCGACATAATTAGTGTGTATAAAACAATGAACAATTTCTATGATTGTAAGGTAACGAGATACATTTTCGAGCTAAATGAATCATCGAGAACTAAATGGCACTCAAAGAATCTAAGGAGGGAGGGGGAGGGGGTAAACTTGATATACGAAAATATTACTTTGGGATGAGAACCGTTAATATTTGGAGGGGGGAATCTTAGTTATAAGGTTGTTTGGGCAAAAAACATTAGATAATTTGAAATTGCTTAGGACAACCACCGGCAAAATATAGAATTGGCAAGTATCAACACGCAAAATGGAACTGCACCGGAAGTGAGATCTGAACATAAAACATGTTAAGATGAAATACGAATATAGATGTCTTATATACCTGCTGTCATAGATTATCCTATTAAATTCTATAAATTGTATATCGGTTATCGTAAGTCATCAAATGAAAACAGGCCAGTGTTTAGTTGTCGATTCTCGTTCTAAGGGAGGTAAGCAGGTTATATCTTGTAAAAGGACCCTGATTATATAAATTAGATCTATATATATAATGCATTTCAAAAAGAGTTTGGGCATAATTATCTTTCTCGGAATATATCAGAATGCTTTTATCATGGTGATGTCGAAACCCAGGCCCCCAGTCATAAGGTGGAATTATAATTGTAAAAATAATGATAATAAAAAAAAATAAAGTGTAAAAAATAAGAATGAAGAATAGGTGGCAAAACATGCGAGTTATTTCCCTTACATTGTTTAAGCTGTTGGGCTCAAATAGCAGACTGCTTCCAGGACACATTGAGGTTATATATAAATAAACATGTCTAATGGACGACATTTTTACGATCTTCTCCTCAGTGTTTTTACAGGATGTTCAAGGCCAAAAGTTCTCCCTACAATTCACATTCGTCTCATGAAAAGACAATGGCTATTTATGTCTAAGTTTGAATGTCATTCCATTGTAACTTCATGAGAAATAATACAGTGACGACGTCGAGGAGTAACCAAACATTATGTTTTTAAACATAAATTTGATTTACTAATTAATAAAAATTTAAATCCTAAAAATTCAAGCATACCGTTTTATTGCTTTGTAAATATAAGCTGGGAATTGTAAAAACAAGTCAACAAATCCTTTCATGAACAAATACACACAATGTAACAGAAACAATAGACACGGAGATACATATAATACAGAAAAGAAAAGACAGGACAAAACCTGTAAGGAAATCAATTTACAGCCTACATATGATACATAAAAGGACATCTTGCCTCTTGCTGGCTTTCCATATAGATGTACATGCCTACCCATCAAACACACACATTAGAAATTGTCCAAGTTCAATATATGCCGACAAATTTGAACAGTTGTCATAACAAAGAACAGTGTAAAAAAGGGTAGTGGTTAGACAGAGCTTTATATACCGAAGTTGAATGTTAGATATATTACATTCACAACTACATATCTGGACAACTTCAAACATATATTTGTTTTCAGTGGTTGACTAGTCCATATCTCAATGTGTATTGTGAAGCGTCACTGACGCTTCAAACACTCACACAATCTATATTCTACGAGATGAGTTAAACTAGCTGTAAAACAAACACGGAAAAAAGTTTCACTTAGCAAAAAAGCGAGAAGTTATGAAAATATTTAAGAAACTAGGTTGTCTGGATATATCTGGACAGCTCTTCCGTCTATTGAACAGACATCTTGCTCTGTCGAGTTTACACCACGCCGCTTTTGACGTAGGCATCCATCCTGATACAGACGAATTCTTCTCCTTTGTCATTTTTTATTTTTATTTCAAGCATGAAATGGCCCTGTGTAAGATTTGAAACAAACATTCAGATGAATATCAGGGAAGCTCCGAATTTTCAATTATGACGTAACCACGTAATTGCGTCACAATTATAAATTTTATGTGACACTGCAAGGGTTTGAAAATCTTTAATGCAAAGCGTTGATATTTTGTAAGCAGTTTGAGAAATGATCTTTTAATTAATATTTGAAAAAAAATATAGACAGAATCTTCTTCCACTCCAAATGAAATTTGACAAATGGATCGGGCACTGTAAATGGTTTTTAACTGTAGTTCCATGCCCTGTAAATTACAAGTCACCACCAATGACGTCATAGGGATGGTTGACAAAGGGGAGAAATGGCTATAGGGAGTATGCGGTTCGGTGAGTTAGACATAAATATGTGTATTTGGGAGATATAGTTTTTTGGGATATGATTTCTTACGGAACGTAACCTACATCTATGTCTTATTACATAAATGTACTGTTACTGAATATGGTATACTATTCCCTATCAAATCCACTCAGTCGTGAACGTTGGAAATACATTATATATATTTGTACTTACGTCAATGAGTGCACGTGTTGATTTACCTGGTACAATGTAGCTCGCATTGATTTTATCTGTAATAAGAAGATAAAGTAAGAGGTAACATAGGCTGCTTTCAAGAGAGGTTTTGTTTCCATGTTTTTAACTTAAGGCTGTATGCTGGCGTTATTTGACTACAGATATATCTCCAACACGGGTAGTTAATATATTACATCATTACGTATGATTTGGTGATATAAGGTCGTTTTGATTTAACACGGCAAATAACGATGATATCAATTTGAACCATTAGTTCTCTCAGTAAGTGTGTGTTTCATCTGGTCCAAACTCCCGCGCCATTAGACACCAAAGGACCAGAACACACCAATTCCGTCCTTGTATTGTCATCACTGTGCACAGTTTAAAATTTCCAGTTTCATGGTTTATGACAGATCTGTCCATTTAGTATAGACTCGAGAGAGAGAGAGAGACTTTCCACCATCATGAACGGAGAACTGATATCTCGTATTAATATCTGATATCATAACAGCGAAGCTGTATAGTAAAACAAAATATGAAATACATTTCCCACTTTAAGAGCGTAGTTTGACATTTTGTGTAAAGTTTGTTCAAAATCACTTGAGAAATTTCGAAAGTGATGTTTCTAAACTAATTACTGATTTTTTCTATAAATAACAACGGTGACCTTCATCCTTTCATTGTTAGAGTTTGTAATGATTTTAATTTGACCAAATTTTATTCAGAAAAAAGTCGATAGAGAAACGTAACATAATTGACATGATAGCACCACATGACTCCCTTCAATCATGGTAGGGTCTTAAATATATTCGCTTTCTTCTTAATGCGAATTTCAGCTGCTCCCTTTGACAAAGCTTTTCTGTTTAGGCTATAGCTATACATTTTCTGGGCAAATTGATGTGTTTTATTGTCACAAAGAAACGATATTTTTTTCTGAAGACAAAATATCTCTCTACGGGATCTAACCCTGAACCTCTGGTCCACTGGGAAAAAAAGTTCAGTGGATGGTTGGGTGGCGCAGTGGTAATGCACTCGCCTTTCACCTTGACGTTCGAGGTTCGATTCCCGGAACGGACATGAAGAGCTATGGAGTAACCTGCTCGACAATGTGGGTTTTCCTCAGGTACAGTAATATCTATCGCGCGCTTCTATCTGAGTCAACAAGATTGATTAATATAACCTGATAGTTTGTTTTGCAATTGTTTTATATCTATATTTAAAGTTCCACGGAAATAAAATTTTCATTTGCCGAATCAGTTCATGTTACAAAACGGGCGATATTTTAGTTCTCTTGGCTTTTTACTATCAGGACAGAGTCCTCATTTCGGAGTCAATAAACTGAACTACTCCTCATATTTCCAACCCAAAACTTTATAATGGTGTTACCGTTCGCTTTGATAGGACAACTCAACCCGACAACGCCTCGCTTTTTGAGGTCTTCACATCCGCCATCAAAGGAAAATCCAAACATTGGCACAGATTGTCCTGAAATGTATACAGTTGCCTTCCCTTTGCCGTGATCAATATCGACAGCTGAAAAACACAGATAGTTACATGGTAAATACTATCGGCAACATACTCGGGATGTTAAAATTATCATTAAATCTAATACTGACAGTGCAAATCAAAACTTGATAAATTTAGTGTATTACATATATCGAACGCAGAGGCAGTGTTCAAAATGCTTTTGAGATGTTCCCTGAGAAAACGGTATCTCCGGGTTGATTTGAAGACTTACAGGAAGGCAGAAAGTGACTGACTTTCTTAGAAACGAGGCTTCCAGATGCTAACCCAAGTGTAAGTATGCGTTTAGGCTTCTACACTATGTAGATGATAACCCGTGAGTGAGTTTGTGTTTAGGGTTCTAGATGATTACCCGTGAGTGAGTGTGTGTTCAGGGTTCTAGATGATTACCCGTGAGTGAGTGTGTGTTTAGGGTTCTAGATGATTACCCGTGAGTGAGTGTGTGTTTAGGGTTCTGGATGATTACCCGGGAGTGAGTGTGTGTTTAGGGTTACCCTGTGAGTGAGTGTGTGTTCAGGGTTCTAGATGATTCCCTGTGAGTGAGTTTGTGTTTATGGTTCTAGATGATTACCCGTGAGTGAGTGTGTGTTTAGGGTTCTAGATGATTACCCGTGAGTGAGTGTGTGTTTAGGGTTCTAGATGATTCCCTGTGAGTGAGTGTGTGTTCAGGGTTCTAGATGATTACCTGTGAGTGAGTGTGTGTTCAGGGTTCTAGATGATTACCCGTGAGTGAGTGTGTGTTCAGGGTTCTAGATGATTCCCTGTGAGTGAGTTTGTGTTTATGGTTCTAGATGATTCCCTGTGAGTGAGTGTGTGTTTATGATTACCGTGAGTGAGTGTGTGTTTAGGGAGATGTGTGTGTGTGTGTTCAGGGTTCTAGATGATTACCTATGAGTGAGTGTGTGTTTAAAGACTATCGACTTTGTGCTACCTATTAAATGTTAGAAATTTTAATATATACTCACGTGCTACCATTTGTAAGCTAACACTGACAGGATTTCCAAGGATGATAGTTTCAGGTGTCCACTTAAAAACTAACTTTGATGTCGGGGGTCCTGAAACGAGAGGCATTTGACAAAATATGTACTAATATTACTGAACGTTACAAAATATGTTATATATATCAAATATCTTTGCATCAAATTATATATATATATAGTTTTATGTTTAATATCAGATATATATCAGGAGTCACCGGTACCAGCCTCGTCAGTCCATATACTCTTGTGATCAGGATTCGTAGGCCTATAGAGAAACGACCAAACTTAAGGAAACTTGTGTTATTTTTCTATTATCATGCCCTAAAACTGTCGCTAGACTTCAGCAAATATTGTTAAATCATTCAGTTAGTTGGACGGTTATCTGGCAGCAAAATCAGACCAATTAATGTTTTGATGCAAAATGCAGCTTTCTGATTCGTCAGTTTTTTGTATCTTTTCATTTCTACATGGCAAAAAAATCTAGCTCCGCCCACTAGATAATGATTGGGGGAGTCAATGGCAACATGCCACTTGCGGACTTGCATCATAAAATATCTAAATATCTTACAATGTATACAAACAACGAATCAGTGATAGTATATCTTATTCCATACTTTTACATATTTCCGTTTAGAATGTGACGAGCTCAAAATACTTAAATATT